TCCAAATCCCTCAGAAGTAAAAAGTGGTAATCCAGTGTTGGTTAAATGATGCGAGCCAGACCTGCAATCCTGCTCTGAGAACAGCTGATGAGGATGATGAGACTTCACCTGCATCACCTACTACATATACATCCTCCACCCCATGCTCCACAGAGAAAAGCATCTGATTTCTATGATAATCATTTTGTTTTTCCTTATGCTTTTTGCACTTATTTATGAATTCTTAAATAAAATGCCAAAATATACCCCTGGTTCTCTGAATAAAATCATTTCTGAAAAGCTATGAATCAAAATTTTTCAGCTCTGGCTGGCGTAGCTCGGTGGATTGAGTGCTGGACTGCAAACCAAAGGTTGTGATTCAATTCCTGGTCGGGGCACACGCCTGGGTTGCAGGCCAGGGCCCCAGTGTGGGGCGTATGAGAGGTAACCACACATTAATGTTTCTCTATCACCCTTTCTCCTCCCTTCCCCCTTCTAAAAAATAAATAAATATTTCTTTAAAAATTTTTTTCAGAAAGAGGGAATCTATATTAATTATTATTATTAGATTTTATTTATTGACTTTTATTTATTGACTTTTAGAAAGAGGAGAAGGGAGGGAAAAAGAGAGGGAAAGAAACATCAATATGAGAGGAATACATCAATCAGTTTGCCTCTTGTATGCCTAACCAGGGACCTGGCCCTCAATCCAGGCATGTGCCCTGACAGGGAATAGAACCAGTGATCTTTCAGTTTGCAGGCTGGTACTCAATCCACTGAACCACATTGCCAGGGCTATATCCCATTATTTTTATTTTTATTTTTTAAATATATTTTATTAATTATGCCATTACAGCTGTTCTATTCTCCCCTTCATTCCCCTCCACCCTGCACACCCCTCCCCCATATTCCCCCCCTTTAGTTTATGACCACTTGTCTCAGTTCTTTAGATTCTATATTTCCCATACTATTCTTGGCCCCCTTATCTATTTTCTACCTACCGTCTATGTTACTTATTTTCTGTACCTTCTCCTTCTCCCACTACCCTGTTGCTAACCCTCCATGTGATCTCCATTTCTGTGGTTCTGCTCCTGATCTAGCTGTCCTCTTAGTTTGCTTTTGTTTTAGGTGTGGTTCTTAATAACTGTGAGTTTGCTGTCCTTTCACTGTTCATATTTTTTATCTTCTTTTTTTTTTTTTTAGTTAAGTCCCTTTAACATTTCATATAATGAGGGCTTGGTGATGATGAACTCCTTGAATTTGATCTTATGTGAGAAGCACTTTATCTGCCCTTCCATTCTAAATGAAAGCTTTGCTGGATAGAGCAATCTTGGTTGTAGGTCTTTGGATTTCATGACCTGGAATACTTCTTTCCAGCCCCTTCTTGCCTGTAAAGTCTCTTTTGAGAAATCCCCTGACAGTCTGATGGGGACTCCTTTGTAGGTGACTGTCCCCTTATCTCTTGCTGCTTCTAGGATTCTCTTCTTCATTTTAATCTTGGCTAATGTAATTATGATGTGCCTTGGTGTGTTCCTTCTTGGGTCCAACTTCTTTGGTACTCTCTGAGCTTCCTGGATTTCCTGGAAGTCTATTTCCTTTGCCAGATTGGGGAAATTCTTCTTTATTATTTGTTCAAATAAGTTTTCCACTGGTGGCTGTTCCTCTTCCACTTCTGGTACCCCTGTAATTCGGATGTTGTAATGTTTAAAGATGTCCAGGAGGTTTCAAAGCTTCTCATTTTTTTGAATTCTTGTTTCTTCATCCTTTTCGGTTTGGTCATTTTTTTCCTCCTTCTGGTCCACTCCTTTGATTTGAGTCCCAGTTTCTTTTCCATTACTATTGGTTTCCTGTGCATTGCCGTTCATTTCTATTAGTTTAGCCTTCATAGGTTCCTCTAATTTGTGACTAAAGTCAACCAGTTCTGTGAGCATCCTGATCACCAGTGTTTTGAACTGTGCATCTGAAAGTTTTGCTATTTCTTCATCACTTAGATTTATCAGCTCTGGGGCTCTGAGCTGTTCTTCAGCCATGTTTTGGTCTGCTCTTGCCCATTAAGTATGAGGAGAGGAGCCTTAGGTGTTCACCAGGGCAGGGCAAACCAGTCGCTGGGTTGTGATGCTGTGTGTAGGGGCATGGTCATGGAGGGGCCACCCAAGTTGCTGGGTTGTGAGGCTGTAGGCGGGGGCGGGTCAGTGAGGGACAATGGCGGTTCCCTCTGCCACCTCCTGCCACTGGGGCCTGTGCAGTCCGTCTCACTGCTAGCTTCTTCATCAGTTTATATGCGTGCGAATGTGTGACTGTGATCAGCCCTCAGTGGGTCTGCCCGCTGCTCCACACCTGAGATCTGCCCACAGCTGCTAGGGTACCTGGGTCATGTGGCCAGATCGGTCCGGTGGATCTTTCCTGCCCAATCCCACTCTGCTGCTGGCTCTGACCCTATTACCAGTTTGGCTGAAGGGTTCGTTGTTGTCAGACTTCCATGTAGTTCAATTTTCTGTGGTTTGGCTGTGTTTTTGTTGCTAAAACTTTGGTGTTTTTAAACTTAGTTGTGCGAGAAAGTGCCGTGCTTCCACCCACGCCTGCATCTTGGCGGAAGTCTCTATCCCATTATTTTTAATGGGTGAAGTAATAATGCCACTCAGTCTCCAGTTAATTTCTCTCAAATCACCAAAACACTTAATACTAAATATTTAAATTAAAATTTACCAGGGGCTTCTGCAAAACTCAAAATATAAATTATCTAACTATTTGAAAGTCCTTGGTAAATGTGTGTTATGCCTCAAAATACTACTCAGTATAGGACAGTGCTACTCAAAGTGCTGGTCTACAAAATGTTTTTGTCCAGGAAGAGATATGGAATCTATGCCAGCACGCAAAACAACTGTTTCTAAGCACACTGCTTAGTTTGGAGGACTGTTCTTATAGTGAAGCTAATGGGGCCCAATACAACGTGGGGTAGGCTTCCCACATTATCACAGACCAGGAACAAGTAGTTTTGGTTTTTAAACAGTACACTTGTTTAGGATATGAATTACGCTTTCCTTCTACACTGTAACAATACTATTAAAAATGTGAAAAAAATTAAATACATATAACATACATAAATAGATATCCTAGAGCGACAATTTATCATCCCAATTGTCCTCATCTGAGAGTGAGGAAGGTGCCAGTAGTTGTTATGACAGGGTAACAGGCATAAACTGGGACTTTGCCAAGTAAATGGGAACATACAGTCAACCTAGCTGATCCCCCAAGCAAAGAGTGAGAAAGGGGAGAAGTTAACACAAAGCAGGGACTGCGATGCTGGCTGGAGAAGAGCTGGTTCATGACTACACACCTCACTCGGCATTCATGCAGACTCCTTGATGGAAGGGTTGTGATTTGGATGGCGAACTTTGGGTAACTTCCTGCTAGCTGTTACAGATATTCTTTGATGTCTTACTGTGCTAGGTACTCCACACAGTGCTGTTGGTCTATGGCTGGTTCAGGAGTCACTTCTGTGGACGAGGTAGGGGAGCAGGATTCCAATGTCTCGCATCAGTTTGTTTGGTAGTCTTTTTGAGGTTAACAGCTGTCTCCTATGGGACAGGCTAGGTCTGTCATAAGAGATTCATTCTACCTTGTGAGACTTGGGAGCCCGCAGTGGGTGGGTGGGGGAAGAGCCTCATCACAGATGGCCTCTCATTCATCTTTGTCTTTGGATATGGTACCTTTTCAGTTATTAGGTGAATGTTATGACTACTTTGCAGGAAATAGATGTGGCATCCTGGATGTACTCTGGATTGAGAGAACAGTTGCTGCTTCAGGCTGGGAAAAGGGAAGACAGAACAACCCAGCTTGGTATAGTAAAGCTTTTTGTAGAGGCCTCCAGGAATAGGTTGATAAATGGCATTTTCCTGATGGGGACTGGGAAAAAGATGAGGAAAAGTGAGGCAAACACACACAGGGCTCCTGTGAGGGACACTATTTTGCCACACGTAATGGGCTCCCATGATTTAGCACGACCTGTGTATAATGCTCATCCCTTATTTTTTCATCAAAAATTTGGCCAAAAAAAAAAATGCACAGTATACATAGCAAAATATGGTAAATGTGATATATGAGAAAGTAAGTAGTACATTTGTATGGGCTAAACCTAATAACCAAATACTCTTTGATCATCATTTTTAGCATGTATATATAGAGTTAAAAATAGAAAATAAAAAATATTCTATTCTTCATGAGGAAAACAATTATTTCTTGAACATGTCAGGTACTGAGTTTTTGACATACAAGGTCTGCTATCTGGAAAAAATCCAGTCATTATTACTATAACGAGAACGGCCTGCATAATTACATGGATGTAATCTGGCAGCCAAGGAGAGTGGACTGGAATGTGCATGTGTGAACAATGATGACTTCACTGTATTAGTCGGTGGGGGGTGGCAGATGCCGTTGAGTAGCATGTGACTGAGTGAGCAGACCACAAATCAACATCAAACTTTGCATTAAGCTTGAGCATCACTCCACGGGAACTACTGAGATGACTCAGACGGCTGCGGCTGGGGGCAACTGGTGGTTGGCAGCTTCCTCGCAGCAATGTGCCCGCTCGGGCATTACGTGTCGTGTAGAGTTTTCTAGTGAAACATCAAGTCACCCAGGTGACTCAGCCCTGCTACAGCCCAGATTTGGTGCCCTGTGACTTCTGGCTTTTCCCAAAACTAAAATCACCTTTGAAAGGGAAGAGATTTCCAGCTATTGATGAGATTCAGGAAAACATGACAGGGCAGCCGATGGAGATTGGGAGAAATGTCCCGGGGTGCCTACTCTGAAGGGCACCGAGGTGGTGGTGTCCTCTGCACAGTGTTCCTTGTATCTTCTTCAATAAATGTCTCTACTTTGCACATCACTTGGCTGGATACTTCCTGGACAGACCTCGTCTTATTATTTACTCTTCATAATCATCTAGATCCTTCTAACTCAACATTCTAGCACCATCTTCCTTTAGAGTAAAATATAACAAGTCGGCCTTGCCCTCTTACCATTACTGAGGGAATCTGCGCTCCCAGGACTGTGCTGCCTGGAGACCAGTTCGCTCCCCGTTTTCCTCATCTCTGTGTTTTCATTGTATCGTCTTTTCCAGTAGTTGAGTTCTTCACGATCGGATTCCTGACAGCGCCGCAGAACTGCCATGGAGCGCCTTGTTTTCTCCACCATTTCCATAATGCAGTTCAGAGCCTGAACCAGAGAGGAAGTTATTCAAACACCAACATTGCAAATCAAGAACAGGTAAACAAAATATACAAAGATTGAAGGCTTAAGTATCTCACAGATTTAGCAATAACAAGGTTACATTTTAAAGCCTTTCTTGCCACGTCCTCTTCCAACCATGCTGTCTGACAAGGTTCAGGCATGGAGGATTCGAGTTCAAGGAATTCGTCTTACCAGAGGAGAACGTGGCATCCAAAATGGGTTATTTTATTTTAATTATTTTTACCCTTGCTACTGAATATAGGCATTGTACTGTACTTATTCCTGTGAAAATCACCCAAGAGGAAGGGACAGTTCAGGGGAAAACATTAATATTCCCCACGGAACTGCCTGAAAGGATGGAAAAATCTCTACAGGTTCCCCTCTGCCTTATACAGGGGAGTACAACAGCCAGGGTAATATAATTGTTAACCATAAGGAAAAACATATCAAGTTGTATAAATTACCCTGGTTTGAGCAACTTAAAGTGATCAGGATGGCCATGGTGTACCAGAAATAAGAAAAACAAGTTAGATCTCTTAAATCAACAGTTAAGGTCAGTTAATAAAGAACCAGGTTATTGTTGCAAACACAGGTTGTGCTGCCAACAGTTCAGGGAAGAACAGATTAGAAAGACTTTCCCATGACTGTTCCTTACCCACAGATACAAAGGGTCTTCCAAGAAAACAAGTAAAAACTATATAGACCCCTACCCACAGCCCAGGGATACGGTCAGGACGGTTGAGATACATCTGCAAGGCAGAGACAACTGTGGCTGGATTTCCTGTCTATCTCTCTTTACATGTTTGTTTTGGTGATCAAAAGGTGGTGCGATTGTTAGACACTTGTATTTCGGGTTCATTGATTAGCATAATTCTAATGAAGTTGTACAAAATAATTTCTTGAACAGAGAACAAAATCCCCTCTAATGAAATAGCTCCTGAATGTCCAAAAGTTGTTAGAGTGATAGCCCCTCCTTTACCTTGAATAAGAATATATATCAATTAGACAAAGAAATAAAAACTGGCTAGTTATTACAAACTAAACACGTAGAAACAGTTACTAAAGAGTCAGAGTTTATAGTACACAGAGAAACATTTTAGACAGAAAAAATAGATAGTTAAGTTAGACATCACAAAGGCCTTATAATAAATTTCCTAACCTCTGTTTGGTCTAGCGTACCTTTTGCCCCATGCCAAATTCTAAGACCTTTAATAAACAACAAGACATTCAAACTCTGTACATAGAGATAGAGCTATTTTAAATTGTCTGATTAATGGGTCTCCTGGTCAGAACAACTTTTGCTTAACATAACGGAAACTATGGAAATTCTTGTATTTTTCCTGGTTACCTTTGTATTGATTTTTTCTGCTTAACTGATCATGCTATGCTGCAAATGTTAATCACAACCTAAAATGAAAATATAAAAACCTGATTGTATTTGCAATAAACGGAACAGAGCTTCACTGTCCTTTGAGGCGTGTTGTCGTCTGTTACCCATCACCAACTCCTTACCCACCTCTGGGAATCCCTGGACCCTGCTGCGGCTGGCCCACGGCACTTTCTTACCACTTCTTTTAAAATAGATATATGTGTGTATACAATTATGTGTGTATACACACACACACACACTGCTTATTTTTTGTTTGGATTTCAAATTAACACTTTGGATTCTTCAACCAACTCTGGGGCCAAAGTCTCATTGTAATATGGCCCTTTAAAGGCTACAGTGAAACCACATTATGTATCTGCCTAAAGACATCTGATTAAGCTGGAGATTTATTAAAACTGCAATCAGAAATAATGTCCAGAGACAGTATCACTGATGATGGAGCAAGTTACTGCATGTACATTTTAATGAAGCACTACATCTTCTCTTCCCCTTTTAGTGAGAAGGGAAACCCTCTCTTATGATGGGACAAGAGCCTGGGGTTGCATTCTGTACTAGGATGCCAATCCTCATTCCTTTCTGGAGAAGTTCCATTTACCTAACACCTCCTATATACCAGGCGCTATGATTAGCACCTTATGTATTACAACCCACCAGTGAATACAAATATAGCATTTTTTTTTAAGATTTTATTTTTCTTTTTTTTTCAGAGAGAAGGGAAAGGAGGGAGAAAGAGGAAGAGAAACATCAATGTGTGGTTGCCTCTTATGTGCCCTCCACTGGGGACCTGGCCTGCAACCCAGGCAAGTGCCCTGACTGGGAATCAAACCAGAGACCTTTTAGTTTGTAGACTGGCACTCAATCCACTGAGCCACAGCAGCCAGGGTAAAAAAAAGAGAATATACATTTGACACAATATTTTATTAGTTTCAATGTAAGGACTTGACACTTACGACAGGGATCCCCATGTCTAGGAACCATCTGATACCATATAAGGTTATTACAATATGACTGACTGTATTCTCTATGCTGTGTATTATATCCCCATGACATTTATTTTATAACTGGGAGTTTGTACCCCTTAACCCCCCTTCACCTCTTATATCCACCCCCTACTCCAGCCCCTCCTCTCTGGCGACCACCAGCAAGTCCTCTGTATCTCTGAGTCGTTCCCTGTTTTCTGCTGTGTGTGCATTTATGTGGTTTTGGTTTTTTTTTTTTTACTCCACATGAGTGAAATCATATGCTATTTGTCTTTCTCTGTCTGACTTATTTCACTTTAGCACAATACCCTCTAAATTCACTCATATTGTTGCAAATGGCTAGGTTTCGTTCTTTTGTATGGCTGAGTTAAAAAAAAGGAATGGATTTGATAGGTTATTTTTTTAATTATAAAAATTCATGCTAAAAATGGTGATGCAACTTACCCACCACACAATGGTAGAATGTGGCAAAGCTGGGACGAAAACTCACAAACCTCTATTGCACGACTTTACTAGGTTATGACTTGAAATGAGGACCCCAACACAAAGATTTGGGAGTTACTCTTAGCTCTTAGCTGGGTGAGTGGTAGATAGATTGGCTTTTATTGCAAAGACACTATAGATTTGGTTAAGTTCACTGGCAACATACATATTCTATTACTATTGGTAATATTAAGAATTAAAAGTAATAGATAGTTAGAAAAATTATACACTAAAGATTCTTACGTGATCAAGATGTTTCCATTCATCAGCCCATTCCCTTTCTGTCAAACGGTGGTCTACCAACTCATCTTGATAGCCTCCATTTACACCTATTAGAAATTGAGATTAAGTTGAAAGATCGTGTGAAGAATACAGTAACTAGAATTCTATTAAGTAAACACACATGCATTCGTACCAACTATGCACATACTACTAAGGCAATGATTCACAACAGAGTGTGAGACCCAAAAAATAACAGAAAAAAAAAACTACTACTGACAATGTATTTTAAAAAACTCATATACATTGATTATGAAAGACCAAAAAGACAAAAAAAAAAGAGGAAGGAAGGAAGGAAGGAAGGAAGGAAGGAAGGGGAGGGGGGGGGGGAGGAAGGAGGAAAGGAAGGAAAGGAAAGGAAAGGGGGGAAAGGAAAGGAAAGGAAAGGAAAGGAAAGGAAAGGAAAGGAAAGGAAAGGAAAGGAAAGGAAAGGAAGGAAATGAAAGAAAAGAAAGGAAGGAAAGGAAAGGAAAGGAAAGGAAAGGAAAGGAAAGGAAAGGAAAGGAAAGGAAAGGAAAGGAAAGGAAAGGAAAGGAAAGGAAAGGAAAGGAAAGGAAAGGAAAGGAAAGGAAAGGAAAGGAAAGGAAAGGAAAGGAAAGGAAAGGAAAGGAAAGGAAAGGAAAGGAAAGGAACAAAGAAAGACAGACAGGCTTATGTCACTTACTAAGACTGTGGTGTCGGTCACGAACTTCTCGGTGTTCCAGCATCTTGTTGGGTTCGCGATACAGGTGGGAAGTTGCGATATCTTCTAAGGTGTAGTGCTGAAGAGGTGGAGGTGTAGGATGGAACTGGCCCCCAGGATTCAAAAGCGGCACAGTGAGGGCGGGGCTGTGCCGAGGAGCAGGGCTGATTGTGCACACTCTCTTGGCAGGAGGCTCAGGAGGAACTGTATCTCTTTCAAAACCGCTTTCTTCCCTCCTGTGCGAGAACAGGAAGTGCACATCTAAGTCCACTGCCTTTGAGCATCTACTTTGTGCTGTGCATTGTGCTACCTGCTTTCACACACAGGAAGACCATAAGGAAAGGTTTGACCTAAGGCATGAACTGAAATGTCTTCAGAGGCCAGAGAGATAATCGGAATCGCCAATTTACTCCAGCAGGAAATAAGGGGTCAAATTCATCCACAATAAGGCAGAAACATCTAAACTTCATGAAGCAAACTGAGAGATTAGGGAGATGATGATACTTTCTTACATGATAAGAATATGATACTTGGAGGTCAGTTATTGAAAACAGTTCTCCACATGGGAGAAAAAGGGCTCAATGATGAATAACACTTGTGAATTGGTAGGGCTTTTAGTCATTTAACTTCAATTATAACAATTTTCCACTGTTGTTAAAATACTGCTGCCCTGAAAAACCATAAAGTATTGTAGTAGACGCTCATATTCAAATTTCCAGAATAACTTAATGTAATTTCAGTCTTCAAAGAAATGGTGATTCATTAGCAAATATCAGTAATTAATTGTTATACTTTAAAAAAAACCTCACACAGCAGTCCTGACCAGTGTGGCTTAGTTAGGTGGGCATTGTCCTGCAAAGCAAAAGGTCACTGGTTTGAGACTCAGTCAGGGCACAGGTCTGGGTTGCAGTTCGGTCCCCAGTTGAGGCATGTACAGTTGCAAATGATCCATGTTTCTGTCTCAGATTGATGTTTCTCTCTCTTTCCTTTTCCCTCCTTTCTCCCCACTCTCTAAAATTAAATAACAAACAAAATATTTTAAGAAAAGCGCAAACTAAAAAAACCTCACACATCAGGAAAAAATGCCTTGGGCAGATTATTTCTTATGGTTCTGGAACAATGGACACACACAGAAGGCTCTAGAGCAGTTTCTCACCGGAGGCATACAGAGTCATCTGAAAAATTTTTGAAATATACTCATGTCTGGGAGCTGCACCTATAGGTTTGAGAAGCATTCTGTGGCCTAAGGTTGGGACAAAACAATACTAACCTTAGAATTCTGAGTCCACACCTATAATATAACCGCAGTAATCAAATATTATTTCACAAGCAAAAGGGAAGCTCAGAATGGTTCCAAACAGGAAGGACAACCAAGCTCTTTACTGCTCACCTTTCTGGACTGGGCCGCTTGCCATTTCCATGCACTTCCATGAGCAGCTCGGAGGAGTCAGCAGGGGAGGCGATACTTGTATTGAGCAGAAGGTGTTCGTGCTGAGCCAGGTACTGGGATGGGGTCTGCTTGGCGGCCCGAGCGCAGTGCAGCAGTTCGCGCTGCAGCAGGGGCAGATTGGCCTAGAAGAGAAAAGGCAGGGTCTGGACGCAGTTTTCCCGGTGTTGGCCCCACACGACAGGGCCCAGCGCCTCCAAAGGCTTTCGCAGAAAAGACATAAGACCGAAGCCCTTCTTCCCTTCTGTCTGATTTTCTCATGTGCCTGTGAGTAAGGTGACATCCATGACACTGAACAGAAAAGGCTGGTCTCTTATCCTCACTAAACTTAAGTCCCCTAAGGAAGAGAATGTGCTTACTTCACCTCTGTGGCCTAATACAGACTTAAACAGAGCTCAATAAAAACTTGTTGAGCATAATCATTTAAAAACTTACACATTTTTGAAGACTTTGGTCGGTTACAGAATTAATGTGCCTTCATGGGAGTAGGAGGCACTCACTTCCTCTATCATTACAAGGCCTGGTTTCTCTGCGTACTCTTTAACCTTCCCTTCACATTCTTTGTGAGAACTGCCACGGAAATCTGGAAACGGTGACTATTCTAGCTTGGCTGGAACATGAGGTTCCCCCAAAAAGTATTGGGAGTTGACTGGAATGAAGCCTGAGACTAGGCCCTGAGGACACACAGGTAGCCCATGGGCAGAACTGACTTCTCGGTACGGCATCCTCACCGGGCACATTGCTTCCTTTTGTGAGAGGATAATTCATTATGTATTGATTATTTTCCTTCTCAAATTGAGAAAACCTTTAATGTGGACAAATCATTAAAAAAACCCATATACTCTCAGATGAACTCTAATCTCTTCATATATAAATGTAGTTTTCCCATATTCCTTTATTAAGAAAATAAAGTAGGCATTATAGCTCCACCCCAGGCTGACAAACAACACAGACTGAGCCCACAACACAAGTCTTTACTCCAATGGAAACAGATGAGCGAGTAAAGGGCAAGCAGTCGTCCCTTTCCCAAGGGTTAATTTATTAATAAATTTAATTTAATTTATAAATTAATAATTTAAATGTTAATTTAATTTATAAAACAGCACCACAATTGGTGACTGTTTTAAAGCAGAAATAAACAAAACCCAAAGGCTGGCCAAAAAGCTGCCATAACAACCTACCTCATGCTGTTTTCCAAAATAACACAGTTAAGAATAGGGAATTTGATGATATAAGATACTTTTCAAGTCTGTTCTATAATCTCAATCTGTAGCAACTGTAAAAAGTTAACTGCAAAAATACCACACCAGATCCTTACATCTGTGATGTGTATGTACCCTTTGATGAATTATTTTTTAAAAAGAGCTAATTCTTCCTAATGACACAAATTTCACAAATCCTTCTTGATTCCGGAGTCTTGAAGGAAATAATCACTTACCAGCTCTGACACACAGAAAACAGACCAAGAAAGAACTAGCACATCTGTGTAATGGCTGACCAAGGCGCCACAGACAGCGCTGAGGGGCTGAGGCTTTGACGCTGTCGGAGCAGAGCTGTGCCCCGGCCACGCGCCCGTGCACTCTCCTGTACGTCTGCTATGCTCTGATTTAAAAGGTTTTCAAAAATCTGTATAGCACACTTCACTAGGGTGACCCATCTTCTTGTTATTATTATTAGCCAAATATTTAGGCTTTGTGGGTTAAGAGGCAAAACTGAAGGTATTGGGTGGATACTCATATACAAGAGAGAAAACCAATTTTCAAACATTGTATTGACAAAAGTGAAAGTATAAAAAAAATTGAGTAGCTTTTTGGTAACATCAGGCCAATAAAAAGAACAGAATTGATTTGGCGAGGGGGTGGAATAAGAAAAGCAACTTAATTGGGGTTCAAAGTTAGTGTTCCCTAATATCAAACCAATTACAAATGTTCACTTGTAAAGCTAATTCTCTCCAGGACTGTATAAAACCACAAGGTGGGCTGGATTTAGGTCACAGCCATCTAAACTTTAGCTGGTCCTGAGCAAATTAGTATCTGATTATAGCCTTTCACTGCCTTTAAGCTATGCACAACTCTGTAAACTATAGATAGGTGATAACAATGCAAAATAACTGTTGTCTATGGGCTCAAATAAAGTTACGTCCAGTACAGGTTCAACCGACTTCCCTGATCCACCAAAGACAAAGCCGGTCATATCCCTGTGTGCCCATCCACATCAACAACCCTGATCTATAAATGTGTCTGTTCTTGGGCTCTCCCCCAAACTGGTTCTAATACCTTACTCATTAATGAGTTAAATAAAATCTTTGATACGGGTTCATTTTTTTCCTCTGTGAGTGAGTCATAATGATACCTGTTTTGGAAAATTACTGCTTAATAGGAAAAAAATAGTAACTTTTCAGTGGAAAAGCATTACAGACATAGCCTTTACCAAGTAATCAAAGTCAACACCAAATTATGAAACTAATTAACATATATGTCTCTAGACAGCAGGGATATCTTACCTGCTGTTTGCTGCCTAAAATGCAGAACTCAATTCTCAACATGAGAAAGTGTCAGAAAAACCCAAATTGAGGTACATCTAAAATTAACCATCTTGTACTCTTAGTGGGACATTTGGTGAAACATGAACAAGGTTTATAGTAATAGTGTTTTTACCAATGTTAATTTCCTCATTTGATGATTATACAAAAGTAATTTTCAAAAAAGATTTCATTTTTAGAGCAAGCAGAAGGGAGGGAGAAAAGAGAGGGAGGGAAACATTGATCAGTTGCCTCTCGCATGCCCCCAACCAGGGACGTGGCCTGCAACTCAGGCATGTGCCCCGACTGGGAATCAAAACAGCGACATTTCGATTTGTGGAGTGACACCCAACCCACTAGGCCATGCTAGCTAGGGCTACACTAAAGTAATTTGATATACTACATCTGTAGCTAACTGTCAAATGCTTCTGAGGAAAAAATTAAGTCTAAAGATAAAGAGAGTAATATGAAGATGTGGTAAAATATTAATATTTGGAGAACCTGAGTGAAGGTACAGAAATTTTCTTCTACCATTTTTTAACTTTTCTGTGAACATAACATAATTTCAAAAGAAAGATTTTTAAAAAGAGTGTATTACATATAAATCTAGCACTGTTTTAATCATCACTTGACTATTTCGTCAGGGGCGCTGACCTCATTCACCTTAGACTGTCAAATAAAACAATGACAACAGCCAACAAAACGGTAGCCGTTTGGTGTGAATGTATCAAAACTATACCTATTTTTTTGTTAGAATGGCAAAAAATATGTTTTGGTATGCCACAGAATTTTATTCTTTAGTTTGTATGTGTGCCACGAGATGCAAAAGGTTGAAAATCGCTGCCTGCAGGTACAAGTATGAGCTGCAAAGGCCTCTGCTTCATCTGACAGCCTCCTCTCAGTTAAGGCTCCTCCTCCTCCCCCTCTGGCCACGGCCTCCACGGAGACTGGCCTCCAGGCCACCCCCTATACCTCTGTCCCACTCACCTCCTCCTCCGCCCTCTACTTTTCTCCTGTGTTACCAGCAGAGTCTGCACACAGACCAGAACTCAAGACTTCTGCAATTCCCATCAAGTATAAGAATCACCTGCAAACTAAATTGCACTCTCATTTGTCTAGCAGCCCAAACTAAAATAAAGGTATGAAAATGTGCAAGCTGCCCCGATTTAGTTCACAGCACAGGGATCAGTAGCAGATTTGGAGGTAATGTTAAGATAAAAAACTATATTCAGTAATTCTCTCATAAAAATTACCTTGAGGAATGGAATCACAAAAGGACGAAGAGGAAAGTTTGTAGCTTCTTGGAGCTTGCAATGGAATTCTTCGATGGTTACTGTTGAGTTCTGAAAAGAGAAATAACCTTGTTCAACCTCTGAAACTAGACACTGTCCTTATATAACTTCCTTTTAAATCGTAAAGAAAAGGTTAATTCCAAGAGCACTGTTGTGAACTCAGATATTTCTCAAAGGTTAACTAAAGCATTTCCTTTATAAAAGAAATTCGGCCTCCTTGATTTTCTTTTCTCTACTACCCCAAATCTAAATTCCCCTCTATGTTCAGCAGACTGGATTGCAGAATAGGGTACTGCCTTCTTCACTACTCTTGATGACAGGTACTTCATTGAACTGCAGGATTCATGGCAAGTCACCTCAGGCACAGGAAACCAAGCTTATAATTCTTCCAGTCGAACAGATAGACTCCGATCAGTCTAAAATGTCAACTTAAAGATTCAAGCCAAAGCTGCATTTTTTAAAAAGATTTATTTATTTTTTAGAGAGAAGGGAAGGGAGGGAGAAAGACAGAAAAACAAACATCAACGTATGGTTGCCTCTCGTGTGTGCCCTGCTGGGAACTGGCCCACAACCCAGGCATGAGCCCTGACTGGGAATTAAACCAGAGACCCTTTGGTTCATAGCATGGCACTCAATCCCCTTAGCCATACCAGCCAGGGCAGGAGCTGCATTTCTTTACAAGTTCTTCACAAAGTTAAAAACAAAAGAACAAACAAACAAACACACCCAAAAGGAAACTTCTACTTTGTATGGTTGTTTACAAGTAAGAGCATCACTGAATAAGAAGATTTCCATTGGCAGATTTTAGTATTCCCAGCAAAGTTATTAGCATTTCCTCTGTTTTTTTCAAAAGGCTGGCTTAAAACTAGGATTCTCAGTTCCTCTGCTAAAGGGAATGTACAAATAAAGATACTGCATTTTCTCAACATACACAAAATACTTTTATTTCAATTCTCCCAAACACAGTGCAATTACAAAAGAAGTTAAAAAACAAATAAAAAACCCCACAAAACTTGGCATTAATCTGAATTCTTTTTTAAAATTTTTTAAAGATTTCATTTATTTATCTTTAGAGGGGAAGGGAAGGCAAGAGGGAGAGAAATATAAGTGTATGGTTGCCTCTGGTGGCCTGCAACCCAGGCATGTGCTCTGACTGGGAATTGAACCATGATCCTCTGGTTCGCAGGCCTGCGCTTAATTCACTGAGCTACACCAGCCAGGGCTAATCTGAATTCTTGATCCCCCTGAGAACCATCATCACTTCTAGGATTTTTACAAAACCTTCCAGTGTTCGAAAATGTAACCTGTACCATACAAATTACCATCAGTACTATATTGCTTCTTAACAATAAGAAATGGCAAATGCATAGGTCCACCAACAAAAAAACTCCATTAAAAATTACAATACAGTCATGCCTCAGAATTTGTATGAATTAATGAAGAAAGGTGCCTATAAAATATCTTAAATGAAAACTCAGAAACAGAACAGTCTATTTTACAAAAATCTATTTACTTCCGCCAAGATGGAGGCATAGGTGGAGACGCCGTGCTTCCTCACACAACCAAGTTTAGAGACAACAAAATATTAGCAACAGAAAACACAGCCAGAACACAGAAAATTGAACTTTTCGGAAGTCTCATAACAACGAATTCTTTAGCCTGACAGGTAAGAGGGGCGAAGCCAGCAGCTGGCGGAGCGGGATTGCACAGGAAAACTCAGTCAGACGGACTCAGGCGCAAGGAACCCAGGCGTGGGGTTGCAAAGGGCCGACCCAATCCAGCGAGAGTGAAGGGCAGCGGGGTTGACTGTGGTGGCGCATTCCTGCGCAGATAGACCAGCGTGAGGGAGTGGGCAGTGAGATGGAACCAAGTGGGTCCCAGTGACAGGAGGCAGCAGAGGGGGCCACCATTTCCTGGCTCTGACCCCACCCCCACATACAGGATCACAACCCAGCCACCCCACCCTGGAGGCCCCGCCCTGCCCCTAAGGCTCTGCTCCTCATACTTAATGGGCACGAACAGATCAAAAATGGCTCAAGAAGATCTCAAAGCCCCACAGCCCATAAATCTAAGTGATGAAGAAATAGCAAAACTTTCAGATGCACAGTTCAAAACACTGGTCATCAGGATGCTCACAGAACTGGTTGATTTTAGTCACAAATTAGAGGAACATATGAAGGCTAAACTAATTGAAATGAATGGAATTGCACAGGAAACCAATAGTAATGGAAAGGAAACTGGGACTCAAATCAATGGAGTGGACCAGAAGGAGGATAAAAATGACCAACCAGAAAAGAATGAAGAAACAAGAATTCAAAAAAAATGAGGAGAGGCTTAGGAACCTCCAGGACAACTTTAAACGTTACAACATCCAAATTATAGGGGTGCCAGAAGGGAAAACGGAACAGGCACCAGTGGAAAACTTATTTGAACAAATAATAAAGGAGAATTTCCCCAATCTGGCAAAGGAAATAGACTTCCAGGAAATCCAGAAAGCTCAGAGAGTCCCAAAGAAGTTGGACCCAAGAAGAAACACACCAAGGCACATCGTCATTACATTAGCCAAGATTCAAATGAAGGAGAGAATCCTAGAAGCAGCAAGAGCTAAGGGGACAGTCACCTACAAAGGAGTTCCCATCAGACTGTCAGCAGATTTCTCAAAAGAGACCTTACAGGCAAGAAGCGGCTGGAAAGAGGTATTCCAAGTCATAAAATCCAAAGACCTACATCCAAGATTGCTCTATCCAGCAAAGCTTTCATTTAGAATGGAAGGGCAGATAAAGTGCTTCCTAGATAAGACCAAATTCAAGGAGTTCATCATCACCAAGCCCTTATTATATGAAATGTTAAAGGGACTTACCTAAGAAAAAGAAGATAAAAAAGATGAACAGTGAAAGGACAGCAAACTCACAGTTATTAACAACCACACCTAAAACAAAAGAAAACTAAGAGGACAGCTAGATCAGGAGCAGAACCATAGAAATGAAGATCTCATGGAGGATTAGCAACAGGGGAGTGGGAGGAGAAGGTACAGAAAATAAGAAAATAGCATAGATGGTAGGTAGAAAATAGATAAGGGGAAGGGCAAGAATAGTATGGGAAATATAGAATCCAAAGAACTTGAGACACACGGTCATAAAATAAAGGGGGGGAATGGTAGGGGTGGGGGGTGCAGGGTGGAGGGGAATGAAGGGGGGAATAGAACAACTGTAATGGTATAATCAATAAAATGAAAATTAAAAAAATCTATTTAATAAAACTCATACATACAAACATAGTATTTTAACTGCCTGGAAGGACAATTGTAACAGTAGTTATTTCTGGATGTGACATTCATTATGTTGGATATTTCAAATATATCAACAGTCAGTAAAAATAAAATTATTTTCCTTAAGGGAAAAAGAATATATAAGATTTAACCATATTAAATAAAAATATTTGAATAGTTTAGCTCATTTCATACTAAAAATGAGGTACTTTAAACTTTAAGTACCTGTTTTAAGTACATGACACTTGTATAATGTAACCAAAGGTACCAATATTCAGGAATAAAAATTAAATGTAAGAGAATGATATTCTCTCCCTACTACAGTAAATTCAAATAGGCCTCGAAAGATAAAAACAAGTAAATGTATGGAAAGACTGTATGAGTGATTAAGTTTTCATGGATAGACAAAGGACGAAGAGAATAAACTGTACAGCGCAGAGAAATGGTGACTTAGGCCAGTGAAACTGGCTCAGGGCTGTTAGTAGTAAAGATTCAGGCAATCCTGTCTATCTGAGACTGATGATCATCCACTGCTTTTTTATCCTTTCTTCTCATTCAATTAATTAATAAATAAAAGCATCATTCTTTCCCCCCTAAGAACTCAGTCTAGTGCAGTGATTTTCAACCTTTTTTATCTTATGGCACACATAAATAAACTAATGACTAAAATTCTGTGGTACTCAAAAAAAAGGTATTATTTTGATTCATTCACACTGCATGGATACTGATGTGTTGGCTGCTGTCATTTTTTTTTTTTTTTTAAGAGACAGGGGAATGGAGGGAGAAAGAGGGAGAGAAACATGGATTGGTTGCTTACCGTACCATTCCCACCCCAAAAGGGGATCGAACCAACACACTTTCTTATGGGACTTCACTCCGACTGAACCGTACTGACCAGGACAGCTGCTGTCATTTTTTAATTTGACAATCTAAGGGAAAAGAGGTCAGTGCCCCTGGCTAAATAGGTATTGCCTGTTTTAAGGATTCTTGCGGCACACCATGGTCGGCACACCGTGGCCTAGTGGGAAAACGGATAAACAAGCCCCTTCATTGCAATATGATCAAGGTACACAGAGAAGACATGTTTCAATCAGACTTCGCAGGACAAGGAAGGATTACAGGAATGTCATCTGAAGAAGTGAAGACACAGCCTTGGGAAAATGCTTTTGACAGAGAGGAGAATGTAAAAAGGCACATTTGTTGGAGGATCTGGTCTCTGGATCGCAAGGGTAACACCTATAGTGGTCTTAGCATACAATGGATGTAGACAGGTGACCGAATAAAACTTATTCCTTTAAAAATTGAGATAATTACATTACTTACATTGTGACTACAGCAAGTTGCAAAAAGAGAACAGATAGGTTTCCATGCATCCTCCACCCAGATTCCCCCAAGGGATACATTTCATACACCTAAAATACAATGTCAAAACTAGAGAATTAATGTTGGTAAATGTGTTTAATTCTGTATCATTTTATTGTATTCGTGTAAACCACCACGGCAATGAAAATGCAAAAATGTAGAAATTTTATCTACCTTTATCCTCCTGGGTTTATAATATAACTGTCTTAAATATTTCCCTTATATACACTGACAACAATATTAGACAATTCTATAACTTTTACTTTAAGCACAATACATAATTTAGAAAACTCAAGAGGAGAAGGAAAGTCTATTATATTTCCTTTTCCATTCGTCTTTCATCCATCCTGCTATTCCGAGATTCTTTCTTTACAGCAGGGAGGTGAAGCGCCAGGCTGAGACAAGGGCCCGGCGTCCTGCAACGGAGCCCTGCGGTGGGTGACCACTTACCCTTCCAGACACTCGGCTGTCTGCTGACAAATGGCACGGATACCAAGTGACCTGGGTACAGGGTTCCTTTTCTACCAAATGGTGACACTGTAACAAATCATCTGATTGGCACACTGTTTTTTTTTAAAGATCTGGATATGGCAGTTGAGCAGATAAGACAGCTGGAGTCGATATGTAGATCTGAGTTCAAATCCTGCTTGGACCCCTGCCTAGCAGGGTGGTCTTGAGAAAAACGTTCATCATTTTTTTAAAAAATTACATTTTATCAATTATGCTATTAGAGTTGTCCTGATTTTTTCCTGTCTTCCCCCATCCACCAGCAGCCCCAACTCCTTCAGGCAATCCCCCCATCATTGGATCAATGATATAAAATAGGGTATCATTCAGCCATAAAACAGCAGAAAATTCTGACACATGCTACAACATAAACCTTAAGGACATTATGCAAAATGAAATAATAAGCCACCCAGGTGTGCTCTCCCTTTCAGGGACACAAGCCCATGTCTGAGCTTTTCCCTTACTCTCTCCTGAGCTGCAAGGGCCCTTCTTTTGCTTCTCTTTCTTGTTTCCTGAGCCCATGCAGCCCAGCCGGCTCACTCCTATCGCTTCTGTTCCTTTCTAAATAAACTTTGCCTTATAATAAGAAAGAGAAAGAGAGAGGGAGGGAGGGAGAGAGAGAGAGAGGGAGAGAGGGGAAGCAGGCAGCCATAAAAAGGCAAAAAGGCAAACCCTGTATGATTCCTCTAATATGAGATACCCAGATTAGTCGAGTAGAATGGTGGTTGGCAGGAGCTGGGGGGAAGGAGGGACTGGGGACTTGTTGTTTAACAGCATAGTTTCAGTTTTACAAGATAAGACAGCCCTGGCCCTGGCCAGGTGGCTCAGTTGGTTAGAGCTTCGTCCCAATACACCAAGGTTGTAGGTTTGATCCCGGTCAGGGCACACACAGGACTCCACTAATGACGCATCAATAAATGGAAAAACAAGTAAGTGTCCCTCTGTCTCTCTGAAATTGTTTTTTTTAAAAAGATTTCTGGAGGTAGAATAGTAGTGATAGTTATACGACAATGAATATACACTAGATATCACTGAATTATACACTTTAAAATGGTTGAGATAGTAAATTTTATGGGTATTTTACCACCTCCTAATGATGCCAACATTTTCTTAAATTAAAAAAAAGTTAACCCAAGAATTACTATTTAAAAGAGACAACTGGCACCCTGGCTGGTATGACGAAGTCGGTTGGAACGTTGTCCCACAGACAGTCCAGTTGTGGGCTCAATTCTCGGCCGGGGCACATGCCCAGGATGGGGGTCTTGGTCCCAGTAGGGACAGGCATGGTCAGGAAATGTGTGAGAGGCAACCAACCGATTCTTCTCTTCTCCTCCCTTTCCTTCTCTCTAAAGCCAATGACCATGTCCTTGGGAGGGGATGAAGAAATAAAATAATAAATAAATGAGACAACTGGCTACATCTGCATATACTTTCATGGCTAAAAAAAGATGCATGGTTTAATTTTCTTTTTCTCTTCTTTCTTTTCTTTTTGTTTTTGCAAATGAGGCCTCTTTTTTTTTCTTTGACTATTAAAATGATCTTGCGGCACAGACTCTACTGAAAGTAATTTATTGTTGGAACTGGCATAATATTCTGATGTCTGCTTTGCTTCCAATGAAGTTCAAACTCATTCTGACATTTACGGCCAATTTTATTAGTCTAGATCCATCCAGTAAGATTTGTCCCATAATAGTTTGAAATTTGACCAATAAACACTTTTTTTTTCAAAACGAAAACCTTTCCCTACCTGATGAAGGTGGCTCACTGTGTCTGGATCTATTTTTCGCAAACAGTATGGTTTGTACTGTTTATACAGCGTGGTCTCTTTCTGGGAGTCTGCAGTTTGCTAAGTGCTGGGTGGAGAGTGCCTATGTGTCCGGACCACAGTAAAAACTCTGGGCCCTGAGTCCCTGCTACGCTGCCCTGGGCAGAAACACGGCACACGCACTGCTGCACTTTCACTGCTGGTGCAGGAGTGAGCTCTGTGTGACCAATCACAGGAAATCTGCACATGGATTCCCACGGATTCCAACTGTGTCTCTCTCCTTTATGATCCAGTTGTGTGTCCTTATTATCCCTCTGCAATAAATCTTAGTTGTGAGCACGACAACAGGCCACGTCCTTGGAATTCTTCTAGTGAATCTCAGGACACGGGGTCATAAAAAGTACAAATTGTGGTATATTCTACAACAAAACATTGCAACGAAAATGAACAATTTACAGTTACATGAAACAACAGAGGCTGAATGTCAAATAATTAAACCATCACTTATTGCATTTTGCCTTGCATGAAAGTTGTTTTTTCCACACTACATCAAGACTGATTTACTATAGCAGTTCTTAAACTTTTTAGTCTCGGAATCCTTCGAATATATTTGGGTTGCGTCTATCAATCACTAACCATATCAGAAATTAAAACTGAGAATCTCAAAAATGGTAACCCATTACAAAATAACTATATTTTCCCCCCAAAATGCAGTGAGAAGAATGGCACTGTTGTTACAGTTTTGCAAATCTCTTTCATATCTAACTTAATAAGATACAGCTGTGTTCACCAAGCTGCTTCTGCATTTAATCTGTTGCAACATTCTATATCACGCAGCCTCTACAAAATTCCATCATACACTCACGAGAGTAAGAGTTAAAAGGCAAGTAACATCTTAGTATCATTATGAAAATAATTTTTACCTCCTGGACTTTCTAATAGTCTGAGGGAATCCCAGGGGTCCCTGATTACACTCTGAGAACTGCAACATGAAAGAAAGTTTAATACTGTGATTCATCTTTACCACATATAGAGGCTAACATGCAGGAGCACGGGGTGATTTTACTGGAGGTAAATCTTAAAGAGTTCAACGTGCAGACACTGGGAACTGGCAGAACCTCCCGTATACATACTGAGAGTCACACTCTACCCTGCTGTCCGTCAGAAAGTCACTCCCTCATTGAACAGATTCACCATACTCTGTACAGTACCTTAGATTATATGTACATTAAAAACTCTAAAGAAACTATTTGCATGATGAGTTGAAGACCATAATCCATTTGATACTATTTATTTAGACCATGAAATTTATAATTTCACAAATTATTCTTCCAAAAATTAAATTTGCTACTTTTCCTCTCTCTCTGGCTTGGAAACAATGTTTAACACTGAATATATTAAACAAAGCCTGGCATTAATTTGGGTGAACCTTAGTCACCCGATGAAACTCAGTTTTAAAGCATATTCAAAGCCACTTAATGGCCCTGACAAGTGTGGCTCAGTTGGTTGGGTGTCGTCCCACAGAACGAAAGGTCACCAGTTCTATCCCTGGTCAGGATACATGCCTGGGTTGTGGGGATATGTTGGGGAGGTAACCGATCAATGTTTCTCTCCATCTCTTTTTCCTTTCCTTCCCCTCTCTCTAAAAATAAATAAATAAAGCAGCTTTTTAGAAAATTAAGCTGCTTAATGGAATTAAATCAACAGCATAGGAAATAATGAGGCAAACATTATAGATTTATTTCTTTGATAAACACTTTTATACACAACTGAAATTCACAAATCAATAGTTTTGCACAAATTATACTAATAACTAATCTAGTCTGTAGATTTTGCCACATTGCTTCAGGTTTTGGAGTGAGAAAAAATACGTACAGCTTCTCTGCGGGCTTTGATTCTGAGCCATATTCTCAGGTAACCACTGACAGTGATGCTGTACTTACCACCAGCGCTAGAACAAGAGTCCGCACTTTCTCCCCAATCTCAGGTGAGATGTCATTGCCAAACTGTTGCAGAGTGGTGAGGAAGCGTTTTAACTTGCTGAGCTGCCGAGCACCACACGTGGCTGGCAGTTGTTGATTTGTTAGTGCAGATGACGTGGAAGACGCAGGACCATTGCTGAATCTCTGTGGTGGTGACGGGGCACCATTTAGGGTAGGAGGAGAATGGTTGGTGCCATTGCTCACTGAAAGAAAGCCAAAAAGAAAGCCTCAGTTTCTAAGTGCAAAATACAAGAATCTTTGATTCATTCTGCATTATCCTTCATTTATTCACTCCAGTTTTGTAAAGCACATGTTGAAAGAGTTATCAAGATACTGTTTTTTGCCCAACAAGATTGCTATAGAAGTGAGACAGACTACCAGGTGAAAAATAGTAGCAGAGTAACAAAGACGTGTTCAAACGGAAGAGTAGGGTGCTAATAGACCACAGAGAAGGGACATGTAACTCTACAAGTACCATGGGCAGGTGTAGGGAGTTTTAAGGCTTCCTGTAACAGGTACTGCATGAGATGAGTTTGGAAGGACATATACCTCCAATGAATGGATACCCATGCCCACTTTTTATGTCACATCTTCCCAATCTTAGGGTCTCATGGAAGCTAAAGCAGTTGATTAGAATGGAGTGTGTGAACAAGAAACACAGAAAACACAGAACTGTGTTACTGTGAAAAATGTTTTTTTCTAGATTATACGTTTAATGACCTAGTTCTGCAGTAAGGAATATATCTCTTTGACTACTCAGACTATTCATGTCCCTCAGAATAATATTATCTCTGCCTTGCCAAATCCTTGGTCATTCGATAAAGCATTTTTCTAGACACCACACAGGACACTTCAATTCTGTATTTCTGCACAATTACGATCCATGTGATTAGTTCCAGTTTTTCTATTTTCCTATAGTCCTTAGTAATTTTTTGCTAGTTTTAATTTGGAACACAGTCTTAGAGCTATACTCTTGGCAGCATTCAGAAAAAATTTCCTTTTTCACTATAGTGAAATAAAATTACCCAGTGCCTAAGAGTCATTAGATTCTCACTCATACTTTTCTAAGAAGCTAAACTGTGTTTAAAAACAAGAAAAATTTTAAGTCAAAAGTTAAGCCAAATTTAAAGAACCCAATAATTTAATCTTTACCTAACTTAGAAAACTGTCATTTATTTATATTTTGTTTAATGCCAACTGTTAATCATGAAAAACCTTCCACTTCCCTTCTTTCTCCAAGCCAGTCACAGCTGCCTGACTATCACTATTCCCACTTCTTGACTGACCTTTATTCCAATTTGGTCTGTAAGCTCTGCTGCATCCTAGGTAGATAACACCTGCATTAAGAAGATTCCTTGAGACTCTGCTGATCCATGTTATGGTAAACCCTGGGTAATTTAGTAATTCTCCTTTGTGCTATACATGCTTCCATTGTGCTACTTGCCAAATTATACTTATTTGCATTACCTTAATAGATTCTACACTTTACATCTGTGTGTACTAAAATTAGCTAAGTTTTGTAAACCATGTATAATGTATATACATTAGCTTTGTTCAAAAGCTAGCAATGCTAAGTGTTCAGAAAAAATGCTGCTGAATATGACTCAGTGCTTAAAAGACTGACAGGCTGGGGGGGGAGGGTGACTTCTCTTCTGTGTCTTCCATTAAAAAAGATCACCAGAGCTGCTGGAAAGAAAGCTTAATCACTCAACCTTAGCGATCCAGAAAATGAGCTGCAGTGGCCTGCCATTTCTTTGTGTTCATAGAAAGGTCAATTGCCACTGGAGGGTGGCCCTTTTTTTAAGTAGCCCATTAAAATAATACATTACTGTGCTTTTAGCCACCCTGATGCCCAGACAAGCTTTTTCACGGTCTCTTTACTGAAAGCTTATGATTATAATCTCTGAAATAAAACATGTCCACCCCCAAGTAGTCAGATACAGAGGTAAAAAGAGCTAATTTTATACATACATATCCCAGTTGTCTATATCTCGAAATCTGAATGATAGCCTGGGTTTAAATCTGTTTCATTTCAAGATGGTACTTAAATCTAAGGATGTATCACTTTGAGACCGAAAACATGCTTTAGGAAAAAGGACATGAAAATGTGTTTCTTTCACTCTCGCTCAGACTGCTGCAGTTACCACTTGCACAGCTGCAATGATTTGGAAAATAAAAATTAAACCTTTTAAAAAGCTGTACCTCTTAGACTCTCTTCTCTTTAAATAAAAAAATTAACACAGAAAACATACCCTGGCTGGTGTAGCTCAGTGGATTGAGCGCGAGCCTGTGAACCAGACATTCGCGGTTCGATTCCCAGTCAGGGCACATGCCTGGGTTGCAGGCCAGTTCCCTGTAGGCCAGTTCCCAGCAGGGGACACAGGATGCACAAAAGGCAACCATACACTGACATTTCTCTCCCTCTCTCCTTCCCTTCCCCTCTAAAGATAAATAAAATCTTTATATAAAAAAATTAACACAGAAAACAAATGGTTGAGCCAAAGTAGTGTGCAGGCTTGTGCAATGGTGTTTAAATAAGAAAGTGCAGGTGGTATCTAGTGCAGTGCTCTGACGGGCGGTGTGGGCACTCCACCAACGGCAACTTTCTTCTGCTTTACCAGGTAGAACACCTGTTAGGGTCGGTGTGAACTGCAGGTAGCAGGCGTGGAGAGGCAGGACTCAAAATCTGGACTTGTGTGTGTATGAATGCATGCGTCTTTAGATTTTTATATTTTAAATTGACGGATTTTATTGGTTTTGTTCTTTTAGTATGTGTGTAGGATTGAAACTGTTGAGTTGCAGGGTTTGTGGAAATTCAGCTTTAGTAGACACTGCCAAAAGAGTTTTCCCATTCTTAATCTATGAGTGTTCAGGTTGCTCCGCACATATTCACCCAAACTTGATATTCTTTTTTCATTTCGAACCTTCCTGTGGGTGCATGTGGTGTTGCACTGGGTTTCAGTTTGCATTTCCTTGATGACTAGTAAAGTTGAATGAACGCCTTAGATTTGTTGGCTAATACAATTCTCATGAACTGAATTGTGTCCTCCCACAAATTCCGGTGTTGAAGTTAACCTCTCAGTACCTCAGAATGTGACCATATTTGGAGATAGGGCCTGTGAAGGTTAAATGAGATCATATGGGTAGGCCCCTAACCCATTACGACTACTGTCCTTATAAGAAGAGAAAGGGACAACATATCGCACGGGCACGGAGGAAAGGGCATGGAAGGCCACAGCAAGAAGGTGGTTTTGCAAGCCAAGAATAGAGGCCTCAGAAAAATATCAAACTTGTTGACACCTTGATCTTGGACTTCTATCCTCTAGTCTATGGCATTAGGAAAATAATGCAATTATTCTCTTTTTTTGAAAAGAGATTCACAATAACAGCCCTGGAAAACTTTTAGAATTTGATAATTTTATAAAACTTGCTTTAATTCCCATCAATCAATATAATTTTAGTTCACTATTTTAGAGCCAAAGAAATTAAAATAGCTACTTATCAGGCAAAGTATGAAAAAATACTGGGACCACTAAATTTCCAAATGCCCAAATTAGCTAAGCACTATTCTCAGAGGGCAAAAGGAATTTATAAAATAACTGGATACACATTTCTGACATATATATCTTTTTATCGCCATTTTGAAAATCTTGTGAACAGTATATGGAGAAGGCTTAATGGCAGTCAGCTGGTTAGATACAACTGTTGCTCTGAGCTATAAACCCAAGTAATTAAGAGGTCTCACATGCTGTAGGAGTAAATGACACTGGCCTGGGTCCTCCAGAATTTATTGGTGGGAGCGGTGGCATGGTGGGAGGTGAGGATCTTGACTGTATCTTCACTTCCACAGGCGATCCAGGCATTGCTGGCACCCTTTTCTCAGGACCAACTGTAGAGAATAAAAGAAATGGAGGTCAGAGTTTTCTATAAAATTATAAAAATAGTGACGATAATTTGAAATACTGACATATTTTCCTAGAGGATTAAAAAGAAAATGCTTAGTTTAATAGGCTGAATAGTGGTTCCCAGAAAGATATCTACCTCTTATTCCCTTGAACTATAAATGTTTCCTTATTTGGAAAAAGGGTCTTTGAAAATGTAAAGGATCTTGAGAGATCTTCCTGGATTATCTGGTGGGCTCTAAATCCGATATGAATGACGTCCCCATAACAAGAGCTAAAGACACATACACAGAGGAAAGAGGACGTGAAGACAGTCACACACAGGGAGGACGCAGTGTGGCGATGGAGACAGAGACCGAAGTGCCGCATCTACAAGCTCAGGGATGCTAATGATGCTAATGATCGTAAGCGGCACTGGACGCCAGGCAGAGGCATGGAACAGACTCTTCCTCTGAGGCCCCATGAAAGGAATCAACCCTGATGATACCTTGGTTTCGGACTACTGGCCCCCTGAACTGAGTGAGAAGATTGTTGTTTTAAGCTACCCAGTTTGTGGAACCTTGTCACAGCAGTCCTAGAAAACTAAAACAAGGCAGCAGGGTCAAAGATTCATGGGACCAGAAAGTTAACAGTGAAGACAGTGGCTGAGAAAGAAAGAAACCAGGTTATAAACTCTGGTTATCTCAACTGCATTCTTTCTGAATTTCTCTTTATAAATGAATCAAATTAGCAGAGGGGAAAAACCTAATGTGGGGACTATTTAGATTAGTAGGTGTCAACTGATGGTATAGAAACAAATATCATTAGTTGCATATAAGTTACTATAAATGATGAAGCACTAAATTTTTATACATATCAACTACTCCAAGTAGGGAAAAAAAGGCGGGTTCAACATCTTTGACATCAAGCATATAAATGTCACTTATAACATCTGCCCAAAAAGATAAAAAGTGCAGATGATTCTAAATGAAGCACAGGCTACTTCACCCATGGGGAAAATTCATACACAGTCATTTGATAGCAGACAGCAACAAATTCCAGAAAGAGAAATTTGACAGATTAAACTCACTGATGTAAGAATTAAGTCTGAGCTAATATGGATAAGACGTGATACTGAGCAGCAATATTCTAATATCTTCCAAGTTATTTTTCTACATCAAAGGGAACTTATTTATATACTTGGTTCACACTAGGGCCAGGGTTACCATATTCACCTTTAAACTGAGCTATTTTCCTCTCAATGATTCCAAGCTTTTCACTTCAGTGCCATGTACTTACCCTCCAACAAATTCAACGTGCCACCACCAAAGGTTCAAATGAGAAAGTTAACTCAGAGATCTCTCTGTTGTAAACACGACAGGCACAAGAGCGCCCAACACAGGGCAGAAGGCACGCCTTCGCACGGCCACGGGCCCAGTCTAATGAGGAAAATATGCTCGAATATCATCATTATTTTTAATGATTCAATTTGCCGTATTTTGGGGAAGAGATATAATGACTCTAGAAAGTCAATCAAAGAATCGAGCCCTTAAACTGCAAATTCCCTGACAAAAACACGCAGCTCTCCGAGAGCCGTGTGGGCAGCACCCTGCCAGCCTTGCCCGTCTCCGTGTCCAGGACGTTTTCTTTGTAAAATCGACGATTGTCCTCTTTGATTGGTGGACTAATGAGCTGTTGCGTTTGCCTTTTTCTTCTTGACAGTATTTTCTCAATGCCCTTCAGAGAACAGTTGACACGTTTCCAGCATTTCCATCTGGGGACCAGCTTTCTGGAGGATGGCGGGGGAGAGGGGAAGGAAGGAGCTGACAGTTGTCTCACACTGTTATGTGTTGTGTACAGTGTGCAACAACCTAGAGGGAGCCTTTCTTCGGACCACCTGCCTTTACAGCAAGGGCGCCAAAGGCCTGAGGAGGGCTTAGCAGTGAGATGTGTTTTCACATTCAGTACTTGGCAGAACGAAAAACTCAAGAGCAGCCCAACTGCAGAACACTGAATAATACACCAAGTAAAAGTTCAGATATAGGGGAAAACTTAGCCCCCAGACTCCTACTTACAAATTAAAACTAGCCATCTCTTGGTCAGGTCACTACTCACAAACCTGCAACACTAGTGTTATCCCTTATGTTTTAAGCAGTAACATTGTCTAGTACATGTTTTAAGCAGTAACATTGTCTAGTACAAAAAGCATGAGTACAGAGACTGAGAGATTTGGTGGGAATTCTTCTGTTGTTACTAAAGGTCTACTTAAATTTTATCAAATTGTTCCATCTTTCTAGGTTTCATTTTCTCAAAAAATTTTTTTATTTATTATTTTGAGAGGGGGGGAAAGGGGGGGGAGGGAGGGAGAGGGGGAGAGAGAGAGAGAGATTGATTTGTTGTCTACAATCACACATTCATTGGTTGATTCTTGCATGTGCCCTGTCAGGGTGATCTAACCTGCAACCTTGGCATTTGGAGACAATGCTCTAACCAACTGAGCTACAAGGACAGGGCCCTGGGACTCATTTTTAACATACATAAAATAAGAGATAATAAGACCTACCTGGCAGGAGATAATGCTTAGACTAGTGCTAGGTATAAAAAAGGTACTTAATACACAGTAACAATTAGACAACATGAAGACCAGTGTCACGTGCTGATTTCACCTGGCCATGTGACTATGCCCAAGTTAATATTAACATTTCTTTCCCACAGAAAACAAGTGTACTATCAACGATTAACCCATCTAATGACACAGATGTTACATGGAATGATGGGGAAAAAATAACTGTTGCAAAAGTACCAAGTATAATATAAGATGGCATTTTGTTGGAGGCTGGGTGAAATGAACGCACAGTTTGTGTGAGATCTATCCAGATGGTTTATAACTTGACAAATTCAGTAGCTGCTAGGATGGTGGATAAGGGGTATACTCCAAAGTAGGTGTTTTAACCCTCTCCTTGGTGGCCATGACATGCCTTTATGTCATCACTGTTAGAGTAAATTCTAAATATTTATAAAACTGATGTTTTATATTGTAGCTGTATCCTGTGAAAGAACCAACCATATCGTGAGCTCTTTTTAATTCCAGAGAACCTTAGATAAAATTTAAGGAGAAGAAATGTCTTTATCTAATGTGTGACTTGAGCCCATAAACAGTATTGCTTGGACTATCAAAGAGACTTAAAATACTAAGTCCTAGAAAAATCAAAATAACTCTTAGCTTTGTCATGAAAGTTCAACTCAATTCTAGACATTGATTTTTAAGAATCAAAGTAACTGATAATTTAGTCAATCGGTTTGTACTTTGGTTATTTTGAATATTTGGACATACACAGATTAAAAAATAAAACTTGAACATATGACCACATACATTCATTTACAAAGTCTCTGATGTTTCAACATCTAACCATGTAAAGCAAAACAATATGAGCTAAAGAGGGGTGAACATTGAAAAACAGGTCTGAATAATGAATTTACTTCTCCTTGTACAACATGCTAAGGATGTCATGAAACAACACTGTGAAAAGAGAGGACAAAGGATCACCAGTTTTCTCTGTGTGATAGCAATGCTATCCAGATATAAATTCGAAGAATCAAACATAACACTAAAGAGTAGAACTGTTCTGTAGATCTAAGAGAAAATAATGAACAAAAAAAACAGCCCAGACACAGTGCTCCCTGAGAAGAACCCTGTGGTAAGTTGCCCACAAATGAGAGCATTTTCAAATCATTATAATAAACTGCTTTTCCTTTAAAGTTTTAAAAAATTACTTTGATGATGACAAAGGAACAAAAGAGGTATAAATTTGAGAATAAAAATGCAATTATGTGAGGGAAATCAGATTTAAAAATCTACTTGAATCAGGTTAAGAATCTATTTGAATTAATTATTTCATTTGGCTATGGGATGCATATGCTGAGTTCTGGGCAGAAGAAGGTATGGTCAAATGCTCCTGATTGGCATCATTGAGAAGAATGAGCTGAATATAGATCTTTCGGATGCACAGTGCAGGAATCCTGGTCATTCCAAACAGACTGACCAAGGAAAACCACGTTTTTAAAAAAAAAACAAATCAGACTCCTAACTAAAAAAACAAACAAACAAAAAAAAACGGGGAGTTTTAAACAGAATTATCTTTGGAGGCAGAGGACAAAGACAGATGAATTTTTAAAAAATGTATAAGCACACATTTATATGGTGTAAAAATCAATATAATAAGAAATATTCCTTGCCTGTGTCCCTACATACCCCATCCCATAGGAAACCATTTTAATTGGTTTCTTGCATATCCTTCCACTCTTTCTCTGCACAAATGAGCAAACTCAAATATAAATTCTTATTTCACCCCATTTTATACAAGGGTAGCATAATTACATTTAACTGCCTGCTCCCAATAATGGTCTCTCCATAGCAATGCCTTTTGCAATGCATCAGGAAGTGGGGTCTATTCCCTTAATTTCTAAATCTGGTCAGGCCTTTCTGACTTGCTTTGGCCAATGCAATGTGATGGAAGTGACGGTGTCGGTTCTGAGCCTCTCTGGGAACCCTGACCTGCTATTAAAGCAAATCCAGACCAGTCTGCCGGATGACGCGGCCACGTGGAGCAGAGATGAGTTGCACCAGCTAAAGCCAGCTGATCCCTGAACAGGTGAGAGCCTAAACTGATGAGTCTGAAGGTTTCTGACTACAGACATATGAATGAGTGAGCCCAAATAAGAACTGCCTTCACTCATAAGAAAAAAAATGAAATAACAAAATTAAAAAGCTTCTTGTTTCAGGTCACTGAGTTTTAGCATGGTTTGTTATATAGCAATAGACCAATAGGCAACTGATCTATGCCATATACTAACTGTACTGCTCCTTGGTTTTTTAATGTTCTCACTGTTTTATAATTTCAAAATATGCCCTAAAATTCTTAATTCTACAACCTTATAAAATAAGATGCAAAATATTTCATTATGTGGATGTACCATAGTTTATTTACACAATTGCCTATTGATAGAT